GGGAATCTTTCTGTTTGCCCCCAAATCTGGTGCACATCGTGTTCTCTTTGCTAATGTTTTTGTTCAATCAACCCGTTTACACAGATCACTGACATTTGTAAGTTCCTAGCCCTAGCTACTGTGCATTTTCTTTTAAACCTCACTCATTGACATCATTTTCCAATGTCTCTCCATGAAGTCCATGGCATAACTGTGGAAAGACAATGGAAAATGTTATGCCTGCTTTCTGGCATAACAAGATGTTAATTGGAATTTATTACCTTGGAATGCCAGCTAGAGATCCTAAGATAAAAGATGTTACCTCCACATTCTAAAGAGAGGAGCTAGATTGTCTAAGTGGGACTTAATTAAAGATAACTGGTTCAGAGACTTTCCCTCCGAACAGCCCAGGAAGTCAAAAATTTGAAAGAGAATTCGTAGGAGGGAACTCAAAGAGTTAGAATGCTTTGCTTTTCTACTCCTGTCCCTTGAGGAAGGAGGGGCTTCCCTCCTTCAAACCATTTCAGATTCTATTGAAACAGATGAAGGATTATTTTTTCTCACATAACAGTAAGTCAGGGAGAGATAGCTGATACCTTCTACTATTATCTACTATTTTCTTTCTCTCATGGTATGGTCACAAGATGGCTACAGCAGCTCAATGCAAAAAGAAAAGGAGAAGGGCCCATCCCAAGGACATAAGTCACATTTGTAAAAGAAGCCACACTGTTCTTATTGATGTATTTGTCTGTTCTTTTACCAATACCATATTGTCTTGATCTCTGTGGTTGTAGAGTAAGCCTTGAAGTTGAGTAGTGTTGGTCTTTCAGATTTGTTCTTCTTTACTTTGTTTCCAAAAGCATGTCAACAGACTTACTCTTCAGTTTCATTGGCCAATATTCTAACACATGGCCACCCCTTGCTGAGAGGCTAGAAAAACCACATTTAATGTTTTAACTCAACATGCAGAGTTGTATATGCATGTTTGGTTAGCCATCTGCTGGTGTCTGCCATAAGTGTAGATGTTGAGAGAACTTGCTATATAGAAGTCCATGGCATAATTGCGGGATCCACGAATGTACCCCATGAATGAGTCAGCACTGGGAGCCTGCCAGAAAAAATATTAATAGCTAAAACAAAAACAAAAACTATAACCAATACTTGCTAACTAGAAAGCCTTCTCTTCCTTTTCTACAATTTCCTTACCTACTACCTTGCCCCTGGAAAATGCAGATGGAAGGAGCAGAAGATGAAGAAAGGTTGAAAGATCAAACCGTGCTCCTTTTTCCCATTGCGAGCCTGTGGGCCAGGCAGCCCTGAGGTGATGGAATGGAAGAAGCTCTGCATTTGATGCAAAATTGATATTTCAACTAGATTGGACTTTCAATTATCTATCTATCTATCTATCTATCTATCTATCTATCTATCTATCTATCTATCATTTATCTATTTATTTATTATCATAAATGACAAGGAGGCAGTGGAATCTCCTGAGATAGTGTTAAAGTATGGAAAGGGGAGATCTGACCCAGGATCTTGGTGGGGGGCTTTGTCTGGAGGAAGATAAATCTACTTACTGATTGTGCCCCCACTGAGTTCAGCTCCTTCAACAAACTGGTTATGTTGGAAACTACAACAAACTCCTTTAGTCTATGGCCATACTACCCTGAACAAGCCCAGTCCGTCTGATCTCGGAGGCTAAGCAGGGTCAGGCCTGGTTAGTACTTGGATGGGAGACCACCTGGGAAGACCAGGCGCTGTAGGAGTAAAAAAATACAAAAATAAGGGATTGTAAGCTGACAAGGTCCTTGCAATCTGTGAGGTCAAACAAGGGTTGCCTCGCCTAAAAAAATAAAAAAAAAATTAAAAATAAAAATTTAAAAAATGAAAAAAAACCCAAACTCCTTTAATCCTGGCTGTTCGTCCAAAGCCCTGACTCCCAATAGGTCCTCCTGGCTCTCATCTGGTGGCCTTTTCATTGCTGTAGGGATGCTGGATCTGTCAGTATACGACAGCTTTGGGAGAGTATTTTGATTCTGCAGGATAGGAGAAAGCCCAGGAGGAGTACTTAGGGGAGTTTGGTTATAACAGGATAATAGCAAATCCTGATCTGTCACTAGCTGCCTTTGTGATCGCTCTCTAGCCTTGAGTTAACTACTCTGAAATAAATAGGCTAAAGGAAATGATTGTAATAGATATCTCTTGTGATGGCTGCCTGGCTCCCTCCCTTCCCATTGCCTTTGATACCTAGGGATGCTTTAGGTCCATGTGACTCATCCTCCCTCCAGAGCTGGTTAACCAGAAGAGGACATCTGTCCCAGAGCAAGGCAGGCTCTCTTTATTGAATAGGGGGACACAGAGACTGAACAATATTGACACTATCAGTAATTGAGAGCAGCTCACACCCACCTGCTGCTGCTGGGCCCAGAAATGCCCAGCTTCTTGCCCTTCTTGGGGCTTGATGGCTCAACAATTCCTTGGTTTTCATGAGGTTTCCTGGTAGCTTTCCAGTAAATCCCTCACTTTGGTTGGGATTTCAGTTTCCAGTGTGAGAAATAAGTGAGCTGAGTCAGATTTTCCAAGTCACCATATCAAAGGCAATATTATTAGATACATGCTGAGCCTAAAGGGTTGAGTATACACTTGAATTGGTTTATCTCTTAGATCTCATGCACCAACACCTCATTTTACTCATTCAGTGGGTTTTCTCCTTGAGGGTAATTCTCCTTGATGATACTGAACATTAAAAAAGTTGAATTCAAATTAAGCACATTTTGTCTGAAATGTCATACATTACACTGTCATTTGGTAGGGTGTAGTTATCAAATACCTATCAAAATAACTTTAGAATAAAAATGCTTAACCAGAATACTAAAGTTTTAGAGGACCCTTTAATATGAAACTTTCTAATCATGGACTCTTTATGGTTCTTTGAAAAGTTATTGTTATTGATTTCCCAAAGTGAAAGGCATGCCACTCAGTGGATAGAAAGCAGTATTGCAGAGATGAAATAGGATTACATTTGTGATACTGAGTTTTGGGATGTTGCCACCTGGACCCAGGGTGATGGTTAAGCAAGCTGAGACTAGGAAGGCTTATGTGAGTTGTTCTTCAGTTAATTTGATGATAAATATTAGTGGCATGGCTGTACTGTTTGTATAGAGGCACACACTGCCCCCAAATAATTTATTCATTTATAACGAAGATAAAGGAATGTATAAAAAGTATACAAAGAATCAACTAAAACATGAAAGTATAAATAATCACAGGTGTTGCTTTTTTTCTTTAGCTTTGCTAGAGATCTAAAAACTTTTCTCTATAAGAAATGCTTGCTTGGGAAACCACATACAAAAAGTATTTTAGCAAGTTTATTATTTCTTAATAAGTAATGAAATGTAGAGATTTACTACAATTTCCCCATGTTTTGAACACTTAGTGTTTATGGCACAATCTCTGACATCCAGCAAAATGCCTGGTACCTAACAAGCATGCAAAAAACATTTGTTAAGGGAATTAAAACAAACATAAACATTCAGGTTAAAAAAAAAATCAATGTAAGTCTCCCTTTGCAGTGCATACTCCCATGCAGCTCTTATCTATTTAGCAGCACATTATGTATTTCCAGTTTCCTGGTGCCAGCATGATTTGTTGACACATCAAAAAAAAAAAAGTACCAAACTAAATTTGTTTTTCCTACCCAAACCGGCTCCTCCTCCTTGTTTCTTACTTCTCTGAATGCGACCATAATTCTCCTACTCACCCATTCCCCATATCCTTCTTTGACAAAATTGAGTTGACATCAGTTGACAGTCTATTCTGTTTCTACTGCTTTCCACCCCGCATCCAGGTCCCTACTCTTATTGTCCTCAGCCTCTACTACCTTTTGCTTGGACCATGAATACCCTCCGATCTTCCCTATCTCTTTTTACCAATCTATTCCTAATTTTGTTGTTTGGTCGAATGATCCCCTCTTGCCCTCCCCCCGCACCTCTCCCCCAAAAAAAGAGAAAGAAAGAAAAAGAAAACCCAGTGTAGCAATTTTAACCCAGTCTGAATTCTGGCTGTGATATGCCTGAGTGTACTGTTGTGATGAAGAGCCTAGACTCAAGGACTTTTTTTTCCAGTCTCATTATTGACTTTGTAGTCTAGCCCAAATACCTTCCTCCATCTCTACCTAGCTTTTAAAGGCTAGTTCACCTCACCACTTCCCTGAAATAATCTTCCTCTCCTGGGAACTGCCATAGTATGGCTCCTATACTTCTCACTACCTGCTTTGTGCAAATTACATGCGTCCTTTAAAAATTTTTAAAATTTCTCTTGGGAGAACACAAGTTTCTTGAGAGCAGGATATTAATCGTACTCTTTTTATATATCTCCAATAAGTCACAGTATGACTTGAGTACTGTAGTTGCTCGATAAATACAGGAGAATAACATCAATTTATAGAAATAAATTTGAGATTCTTCCCTTTAAATTGCATGTGTTTATCCCAAACCATAGAACTTTATGTGAAAACGGGTGCATATATGTATATAAATCAAATTAAAAAAAAAATAACTCACTTAAAATAATTTCTTGAAGACTCCACCAAACTTTTGTGGGTTAGTTATATTTAACATATTAGAAGTTATAATAGAAAAAATTTCCAGTTTTTTATGTATTCATTTTAAAACCGTAAATACACTAAATGTTAACATTAGCAATGCATTTTTATTCATTATTTATGTTTGATTCATCTGCCCATTCTCCCGGGCCTGGCCCAGATTCCAGCACGAACATGCTGGCCCCTTATTAGGAGAACATCAGACCTGCGGAAAATAGCGAGAACCCTTTCACCCCGCCCACCCGTCGCCCGCCCGCGCGCGCGCCTGTGCCTCCCCGGGTTCGCGGC